TTATATACCTCTCCTCGCTGATCATCTTGGTAAAAAACAATTTTAAATTTGATCAATAAATAACGATGCAAAAGTCAAAATACTCAAACATATTAGTTCTATCAGCGACGGCAGCTTGAGTTTGTCAGCATTTTGATCCTAGCATCGTTATTTATTGACCAAATTAAAATTGTTTTTTACCAAAATGATCAGCGAAGAGAGCTCTATAAAGTGCGAAAGTCGAAAATGCCTGATGTTTTAGTGATTGACTATCCGTGGAAATGTTCAATTATGTATCTAAAATTTTAAACTTTCCGTAACTCTATAGCCCAGTCTCATATTCTGGATGGTCAATTATACTCCTAAGTCGCATTTTTTCACGAGCTTTGATTTGGTATAAAATTCATTGTTTATGGTATTTGAAATCATGGCGCTACTCGTCTGGAATAATATTATTTCCAAAACTGTATAAAAGACTTTACTCTTGAAACGTAGCTGAAAATAAGTCTAAGAGAGCAGAATAGTTCGCTAATTTTTTTCGTAATAGTAAAATCATCATGCAACTTTTCTATCAGAAAACATCATGCTTGATTTGAAAATTTTACACAAAGATTTTTCTAATGAAGTTTCAAATATTAGTCATGATTCTCCTAGTTATTTGATGACAAAAGATAGAACAGATCCGTCAATACTCTACTTTTTCCACATAGACGCTGTCTTTTACATGTACACTCCCAGGTAGACATCAGATATTGAAACTTTCATTTTTAAACTTCTGAATAAATCGAAATTAAATTGAGCTATAGAGATGGTACGGATATTTGAACTATGTAGAATTAAAACACTAGACACCCCTGGAACGATAATCATAAGACCTTATTTTATAGGAGACAAATAAGTGCGATAATATGTTTTTCTATCTTTGACATCAAGGATGGCTTTTGTGCTAAAAAAAAAGACTAAAAAAACGACGTCGAAATATTGAGAACAACCAAGAATGCACCGTTTTCTCTCTCGCTGACTACAGGGTTTGACGCGTTGAAGAAAACTATACTGAAACATCGACTAAAGATACAGAAAAAGGCAATAAACACTGTTTTTCGGCGTTAAGAAAAAAAGGCGTGAAACATCGTTACAATGACGATCATACTGCTGTTTTTGAATCATGAACGTGCGAGAATCGTGACAAGACGATTTGGCTTTTACAAAAGTAATGTGAAACGCCATTTTTTAAATTTTTTTGTTTCATTGAGTACGTGATGAAAGTGCGAAATACGATGGAGTCACTTAGATTATGATGGAAAGACCTCACTATATCTATCGCAATCCGTCACAAGACTAAGACCAACTTCTTGAAAATGCATGTTAGTATCACAGACCATGACAAACATTTCAACATATCTGTTACTATAATTGGGAAGGTGAGGGGACGCGCCGTGGCAGGAAGAAGAGGTCTGAGTCTCTTGCTATGTATTTCAACATCCATTGCCAATCGAATTTCACAAGAATTCACGAAAAATGTCTGTTACTTACATTTCTTTAGGTTAAACGTGTTTAAGTCAATTCGTGCTGAAGAACTGATGAATATGTCTTCCGGAAGGTTCACACCAGACCGAATGATACAACTGTCGCCAAGAAATGATCGAGAACCAATACGAATAGGACCATTGACGACACATTGACCCTCAATTGTGACGTCATAGGGCAAAAAGCACACATCCGATGTGATTGTGACATCCTTTTCGATGAAAAGGAGATTTGATGGCGCTGCTAAAACATTGACGGAGTTCACAATTTCAATATTGTTATGCTCTAATGAAGCACCCAGCCAACGAAGAGCTGATGAAAGAATCCAACAATTTGTGTCCAAAATAGCTGAGAAACAGGGACCAAATGAATTGACAACAAGACGACGCAGCCAGAAACAGCGAAGATAATTCCAAGAGTTCAATGATTCGGAGAAAACTTCTAACACATGGCCAACAACGTATCGAAGAAGAAGAAGACCGATAAGGGTGCCAAACACAGCCCACGTGAGCCACAACACTGGCAGATTCAAATACATAGGTAGCCTTTCCGCACCGTACCAGCTGAGCTTTAAAGCTAATATCTGCATGTGAATCATTGCATAGATCGAGGCAAGTTGGAAGAAAGATTGAGTGTAACTCAATGTGCACGATGACGATGGTGTCTCTTGATCTTTTCCGAAAAGTTGACCGGTGATATTTGTTGATGGTTCGATAAGTACTCCATCATGCATCCGTACTCCATCGTGAAGAACACATCGTGCTCCAATTGAACAATGTGAACCGATATAAACTTCATGTAAATCATAAATACGATCATGATATGTTAAGGAGGAGAGAACAACTTCATCACCAATATATGTAGCGTCTCCCACTTCCAGTAACCAAGGTGCATCTATTTGCGTTGTGTAAATGTGAGCCCCATCAGTAATACGAGCACCACACAGGCTAAGATAACTATTGTAAAGTCGAGTACCCAGTAAATGACCTAGCCAATAACTGTTCAGCTTCCATTGACGTCTTAGAAACCACAAATGATAGTAACGCCACGAGTAGAGCGTATCACGACCACGTGAAAGTGGGCCACCAAATAGTTTCATGAAGATGGGATATTGCAATAAATGAATGAATGGAACTAATAACAATGCTATGACATTGAAATCTAATCGAGCTGCTACGAAGATAGGTAATAGCCATTGAAATGCCAGAAGAAGAATGCCAACCGTTTCGACAAACCAGGATGATCTAGGTCGTATTGAAAAATCCTCTTCACCTTTCTCTTGTTCTTCTTCTTCATATTGAGCCTTGCTAAGAAGTAGGTCCAAAGCTACAGCTAATTCTCGCACTGAAGGATTTGCAAACAGCACGCTAATATCCATTCTATCGTACAATTCCTCTCGAATGAACATTAGTGCATGCATAGCACCTAAAGATGTACCACCGAGCTGTCCGAATGGCATTCGCACATCTGGCGCTTTTTTCAACTGCAATGTTCGAATAAAAATATCTTGTAACTTTTTCTCTAACGGTGATAGCAAAAACGACTCATCATCGGATGATGAGTCCATAAATGCATCAAGTTCCATTAGTCTTTTCCGATCTACTTTATTGTTTGAGTTAAGAGGAAACTCGGAAACTAATAGCCATTTTGAAGGGACCATGTACGATGGTAACTGGGACTGACAAATGGTTTTGATTTCATTTCGAAGCTCACTCACATGGCTCCGCTCCGTAACATGAATATAAGCCGTTAAGTAACTATCCGCTTCAGAACCTTCTTTTAGAACCATGCAATTCATAATATATGAGGAAGACCGAAGAATAACAGATTCGATAGTCGATAATTCGACTCGTTGGCCACGTATTTTTACTTGATAATCTCGTCGACCAATGAAAAAGAGTTCACCCAATTTAACATCAAATCGAGCTAAATCACCCGTCGCATAGTACAGTTCGCCATTGATATCGATCAGACTTTTCGCCGTCAAATCAGCTCTCTCATGGTAGCCAACAAAAACACCAACACCTATGTGAATCATTGGAAAGAGTGTCAGAATACATCTTACAGACTACTTCCTCACCTCCTATCATAATTTCACCCTGTTGTCCAAACGGCACAGGTTGACGGTATTCATCGAGTAGATAAATACGATAACCATCCAATGGACGACCGATGGGTATTGAAGTCATTTGACAAAGTTGTTCACGATGAACCTCATAAGAAATAGCTGCGATCGTAGTCTCTGCTGGTCCATAGCCGTTCAATATACGGCTCTGTTCGCCAATGAATGGTAATACTTGTGCAATCATTGAACTGAGTAATTGTTCACCTTAGAATCAACATCATTAGTAACTATAGTCTCGAAATTATTAATGAATAGATGACTTTGATGTCTAACAGACAAAAACCAAGAAAGTTTTATTACTATACGGATGGATTTAACATTTCAAAGAATATTAATAGTTCTACAAACGCATCTGAATGCGTTCAATTGCTAGACTGTTGATATACATTTTGTTTCTCTCGCTCGAGATACGGAACAATGAGACACTGCAGAATCGTTCTTTTCATGAACAGCAAAGCATCATCGCCGCTCTAATCATAATAACAGACTGCATTTTTACCTAGAACAATCCCGGATAGTACGAATTAAAGAAGGAAAAACTCATGCAAAGCGAAATACACTCTTTACTCTGATAGTGACAGCTTGTATCAAAGCACATGGGTCTTTTCAGTTAGAGTTCAAAATGGCATCCTATATTCTTGGATGCATATCAGAAGATTCTAAGTGACTTACCTCCAAGATACCAGATGCGCACTTTTCTCATTCGTCCTTGAAACTGGCTATTCTCTTTGAGAAATTTGCCCATAGCACTTAACCATGATGGGACTGCACCGATATAAGTCACCTCCTTGCTATCAATGGTCTTTGTCAAATAGTCAAAATTAAGTTGACCACCTGGCTTGAGCAAACTTAATTGAGCACCTCGAGCAAGTGCAGCATTAATGTCTTCAAAGTGAGCATCAAATGTACAGTTTGACAACTGAAGAACATTGTCATTCATCTGAATTACATGCGATTGTATATAGTCCATGAAATTGCGATGACGAATTGCTACAGCCTTTGGAGTACCGGTCGATCCTGATGTAAACACCAAATGACTGATGGAATTCGGGGTGACATTAACACGATCTAAACGATTGATTTGGTCATCACTCATAGAATCGATATAACTGATCACTTCAGTAATATTGACTGTAAGCGCATTCAGTCGCTTGAAATGACAGAGGGAGAGTTGATTCACCAACAATAACTTAGCATTCACTTGAGTAATGACCGAGTGAAGATGATCAAAAGGATCATTTGAACTTAGTGGAGCATAGACACCACCCGCCATTATGATACCCAAGATGCCTACAATCATTTCAAAGCTTCGATCGACATACTGGCACACGATGTCACCTGGCTGTATAGCAGCAGCATCCAGCAGAAGAAATGCCAACTGTTGAACTCGAATTAACAGCTCAGAATAGGTGAGAGATTGCTCGTCGAGAATCAATGCTATTTTAGTAGGATGCATAATTGCACTTTGTACGAATGCTTGATGAATACACCAAATGGTAAGTGGTATTGTGATAGGGTTATTGAGTTCGTCTAAGATCTTTTGTTCTGTAGGCAAGAGAATGGACAGCTGATAGATTGGTTGGTTTTCCGGATCGAACGATGAACAGAAGATTTGTCGGCAGAGTATATGAAAGCGTTTAGCTAATATCTCGATGGTGGACATGTTAAAGAGGTCACGAGCTCCATCGAATGTGCATGAGAGTGTGTTCAGTGATGGATTGTAGTTAATACTTAGAGATAAATCAAACTTAGACACTACTTCATGATCATCATAGAGATCCTGATTTTTTGGGAAGGCGTTCAATGCCTTGATTTGAGCATCACTGAGAAAAAATGACTCTAAATCCGACGTATGACTATCTTTCGTGTGGAAGTCGAACGCTGTGGCGAGACAAGTAGTTTTCGGCAATGCAAATGATTCCAGAATTCGATAGAATGGAAAATGAGCATGAGTCAAACTTTGCTCACAAAGATAAGACACGACATCCATAGTTTCGCTATAGCTTGTCATTGGATCTAGTTGAAGGCGCAATGGTAGTCTAAAATTTATAATGTTTACATTCTTATAGATTTACTATGTTGTACAACACGAGTACATACTGATTGATAAATGTCCCAATCAAGTCGTTCAGTTCGACTTGGTATCGCTTGTGAACATTCGTACCAACGCATAAATCTGTTTGATTGTGAGATAACTTGAACAGAAAAATATAGTATGATGTTAGGAAGATAGGTAGTAGCTGTCTATTCATTGTTGTTGCGTAATGGATAAGTGCTTTACCAATATCATCGTCGAATGTGAATTCAACTCTGTAAGCAAGTCCAATAGGTTTTTCGTTTGAATCCCGTCGATGATCGATAGGTAGAGTGAAGCCAGAATGCCAGTCGAAGTCGAACATTAACTCATGCCAAAATACCTCAGCCAATTTCATTGGTCTGAATTGTTCAGCAGCGGCATCTAAGCAATCGAAAGTTTATGTATGAAAAGAAGTAAATACTAGTATGACATATCCTGTAACTTACAATCAATATAGAGAAGTTGGTTGTCCGTACACGAAAGTTCTACCTGGTAATCATATGCTTTACGAAGATCCTGATGAAATAGATCTAAAGATGGAATATCGAATGCTATTTGATGAAAATTAAAAAGTAAGAAATCTCCTTTTTGAAGAAGACCACAGTTATCTTGTCGTTGTGTAATAATGTTGACGTGAAAATTCCGACCGCTTGAGAGATCAAATAGTGTTCGATTATATTTATCATTTTTTATTATGGCTTTCAAATCGAAATCATTTTCTATTTTGGTTTCAACAAAGGCAAATAATTCTTTTTCAGGATCTTCAGGTTGGATTATGCGCTGCATCAAACAGTTGGTTGTGGGATCGATGAAAAATAATGTACGTAGCGACCCATGTTTCAGCGTAACAAATCGAAGAGCACGTCGAAGTCGATCGATCGAAAGACTTCCTTTTTCAATTTGATAAAGTAATACAATATTATTGATAGCTACTTTCGAGTCGAAATGACTACATTCATCGAACCATATGCGTGTTTGCGTCAACGAAGCACGAGCTGTGGAATAAAAATAAGTATAGCTAGGTGGCATGCATTTAAAATACAAAGTGAATCGCTTACTCGTCAAAGTGGCTCTAACGGTTGGATCTAACTCGATACGCTGTATGTCTATCACTATTTCTTCTGGCAAAATCAAAGAGAGATCACTGATTGGTCGTTCTCTGGTTCTCTGAATTTCTGAAGAGGCTGAGAACAATTGATCAACAATCAACTGAAATCGTCTAGCGATATTCTCAACAGTGACAGAATTGAAAAGATCGCTAGAGACAATCAGTTGGCCTACCAATAGCTTTCTCTTGATTGTGTACTCTAAGGCCATTGAAAAATCGAACATTGCCGTATCATTTGTAAATTTACTTGTATGGGTCTCATTATCATTAAAACGTAACATAGACCTAGGTTCAATCACTGCTTCTTGATCGATTTGTATAGCTGTTGTTTCGAGTTCGTCCAAGGTAAACATTGTTCGAATCAAGTTGCTTGCATAATGTCTTCCATTGGGAAGCTGCTCGATAATGGATTGATAAGGCAAAATAGAATGTGGATGTACCTCGAACACCATGTTCGATACTTTATGAAGGAGTTGCTCAAAAGTGTGTTGTGGTTCGATTCGGCATCGCATTGGAAGAGTATTTACAAACATACCGATGATGCTTTGTAGTTCAGAACGATAGCGATTGGCTTGAACAGTCCCAACAACAAGATCACGTTGACCGCCAGTCAACTTGAATAAGAAGATATAGTATATAGTAAGGCATACTTGAAATAGAGTGACTTTGGAACGTGAAACATAGCTGGTGAGTTTTTCAACAATGTCAGTGTTGAAACACAAAAAGACGCTAAAGCCTCGGCCAGTCTGAAGGTTGTCAGCAAAGTTCGTTCGATCGATGGGCAAGTTCAACGGCTTCCAATTATAATCGAGAAAAGCTTGATGCCAATAATGCACTGCTGCCATCATATCCAACTGTCGCTCATATACGCAGTCTAGAATACGAGAGACGAATTATATTCATTGCAACAGTGCATATATAACCTCAACTAAAACATGTCAAACCTTCATAGGAACCAATTAAAAACGAAATTTTATTCTTCTCACAAAACTTTTGGGACAACTATTTATGCCGTCTTCCTTCAAACAGCGAGATAAAATTAATATTCCATGACAGAGACGAAAGCTAACACATAATCTCTACTATGAACTCGGAGTTGTGCATTTAAAAGATTGCAAGGGTGTACGATGAAAGTTCATGGATATTATGCTTCTTTCTGAGTACACTAAATCATTCTAACTATTTGGAAGTCAGGCTTAATCAAACGCAAACAAATTAGGACTTGAGTTTCATCAAGTATAGCTTATCTTTGTTTAACTCGAACGAAATATAGAACTAACTCAAACTAAGATTAAAAAACCGGTTTTGCTATTGTTGGCTGGACAATTGCCTTTTTTAGATATGCAAATCAGAATGCAGACAAAAAACTCAATCAATAAATGCCTCAAAAATGAAGACTCAGTGATCAAGTATTCAAATAAAAAATGGAATTCTGGATGCACGGGATACAAGAATATAAGAATGTGTTGCTCTGACGAATGAAAACTCTTATACAGCATTTTTCGATCATAAAATGATAAGTGGAGGTAGCTTCCGTTTCAATTCAACAGTGATAAAGTGTGTCATTCTTTACCGCTACATCGACGACTCGATCAAAGGAATCCTTCCAGTGTGGCGCAAATGTAGAGGGACAAAATTAATTGTAATTAGAAAAGTTACGTTGAGTTTTTCTCAAAAACACAGAAATAATCTTAATATAGAAACAAATGATTTTGTTTGTTTCAAGAAAAAGAAACTAGCACTCTCTTTTTGTTTTTCGTTTAATTTATTGTACCATGAATATGGTTCGCAAATTATAAGAAAAGAGAAAGAACATAAAGAAAAACTTTACGAACAGAAAAATAAGTAAGTGAAATGATGATGCCATACATATTCTTTCCGACTCTTCTTCGATTTATAATGAATAGATGAAAGACGGACGACAATGAAAAAGAAAGACAATTATCGCGGAGAGCAATTCTTATTTTATTTACCAATCTATATTTAAGGGTTCGTTTTAATTAGTATCCACCTTAATCCAATCACTTCTGTTCAGTGTTTAAACTACGTAGTTTAAGTGTAATAAAGTGACAAAACAAGATACAGACAGATGCATTTATTTCGTTAGAGATGTTCCAATTTAGAAGTTTGTAATTCAAGGAACATGAGGAGATTGAATGAATTAAAGAGATATTGATATTTAACATATAAGCATCGCTTGATTTACTTGAATTCCTTGATATCAATGATGGTCTTGAGAAGTTGATTTGTAAGACATCAACATCTCTTGAATTTCTTGATTTTCCTTGAATAGCTAGTTTCTGGATAGTGGGTACTACTGATTCAATATCTCATTGCTGACTCTCTCTGAAATAAAATCACAGACAAAATTACCAGCAGAAATGCGACAGTGTGTAGCAGAGGAAGACACGTCTACATATAAAAATAAGTTTGAGCGGGAATGCAATACGAATTTCTCTAACAATGGAAGGGTGTGAACTGTTGAGCGAAAAGATTGACCATATTCGGGTCAATAGAAAGCTTTCAATGAAAAACTAACAAATTTAAAATATGATGTGCTGATGGCGTTCCTAGACAAAGATCCTTGAATCTCAAGGTCTGTGAAATTTAGGTATAAAAATGAATCAGGAAAGGTTTTCTCCACTATTATAAGGACAAAACATAGTGTTGTTCGGGCCAAGGGGGGGG